CCCCCCCAATAGACAGACACTCTTTCGCATTTTATTAATTTTCAATTTCTCCTTAAAATAAAGATTCGCAACACCATTCGAAGGTCAGTTTTTACTACAACGCACAGGCCTGTGTTCCTTGATATTTAAATCCGAAACGAAACATTTATTTAGAAAGTTATTCAAGGCTGAAAAGGACGCCATTTGCCCAAACCTATGGACACTATGTGAATAGGCATGGAGACGAGGTAAGGAGAGTTGAAATCGTTAATCCTTAAATTGTCATCAACGAAGCCAACATTCAACCGATTTCGGTTGCAAGCGGTGAAATCAGGTAAAGCACGCCCCCATCATTTTGACCATTTAAAAATTTTTGGCGGAAATGCGATCTACTAGCATTCCTCAGAGAGAGAAAATCGATTCAGAGAAGATTGCAAATTTTGACCAGGTAAAGCATTTCGTAAAAAAAAAATTTGGCCAGTGCCAATCTGTTTACAACACTATCATGGCGGGGGGGGGGGGGGCATGGATGTTGAGAGTGAAACAGGCATTTTTGTAACGCAAAAAAAAATAATTCGATAGTGGGCTGTTTGTTAACTCGGCTCAGGACATTATTCAGGACAGTGTGTGGACAAAGTTTCACTACAATTAAACACTGCCTCGAATTGCTATTGCAAAAAATTTGCGAATGCAGAGATTAAAACGATTGGCAAATAAAAGGCCCTCCAATTGGACATGAAGTGGGAGAAATTAAAGTGGGTGAAATTCTCGCGTGAGGCAAACTGCCTCACCAGGAAATGAGAATTCAGTTATTCGAGAGGATAACTCATATCCATACTTTAACGGCTGACTACATATTTCAAATGGCAGGCGTTTTGATACTTATCAATAGTCCTTTAGATGACTTCGAGCTTCACAGAGAGGAGGAGGGGGAACATTAAAGCCGAGGAGTGAGGAACAGAAGAGTGATTCACAGACGTAAAAGAGACAGACAGACGCGAGGGCAGGGAAAAGGTAAGATGAGTACTGTGAGAGTGGTCGAATATGACCACATACAGTGGGGTCATGGTAGTTTGAAGTCAGAAGTCAACTACCAGTTAATAGACTTTCCTTGCCGTATGAGTATACGTTGCCCGGGGTGCACCATGTGGAGGTAAGTCTATCTTGACAGGGCAGCATCTCTTAGTACCAATAGCGCCAAGGCAGCATGACGCGGACCCAGGCGATTGGAGCAAAAGAGAAATGTGTCACAAGTGGGTACAAAGATGGCCGCTTCCCCAACTAGCTACTAAAGTCAAATGATGATTAATGCAGTGCGCGTGTGCATCCAGCGGGAGGTGGGCGTTAAGGCGGCAGTGGCGAATGCTAGAACAGCTGATGACTGGCCGCACAACAGTGCACGCGGGGTGTGTTCGCATGGCACGAAGGTGAGTGCGTGTTGCCAATCGATGATGTACGCACGCGTGGGGTGGACGCGCACAACCATCGACGGAAAGGTACACAAGTGTGTGTGTGTGTGTGCATGAGTGTGCAAATTCACCTTAGACGAGAACACAGCAAATGTAAACTAAGAGAATGAAGGAGTGTACTCAATGGCTTTGAAGTCAGGAAAGATGCACAGGGTGTAGGGAGTTAAATTTTGAGAACGTTATTCGGATGTTTTTCTAGATGAGTTGAAGAAGTTCAATGCGAAAGTTTAAACACCCCTTCATTCACATGAGAGATGACTACTACAATAGATGACTGGGGTCTCTATGACGCATAGAAGAGACTAACTCGCATCATGATGATTCGTCCAGGCCATCAAAGAAAAGACAACAGGATTTGCTGGCCAATGCTCCCCTTCAACCCGGTGAAAAGAACCCACCATGAGCTGGAGAATTTCAACGCGCACTACGAGGTTGCTGTGATTAGAAGATAACAACCTCCTCCAACTTGAGGGTTCGAGCACCCAACTAAGGCAATTTGGATTTGTGAGCACAGCTACTTCATTGATTCATCCTCTAACACAGAGTTTGCGTTCTGTGAAGCCCCTCCCTACCCCAAGCTCAACAAAAACCTCGAAGAGCCTCTAAACACCTCAAAGAAGAGCCCTTCTCTCCTCTCCTACCCCCGAAAGTAATAACCTGTCAAAGGCGAAGAAACTACAGAGCAAATGAAACCTCTCACTGGATTACAAGCAAATAGGTTCTTTTCTGAGGGGAATAACTTTTGTCAAGATCAAAAGCGCAACACACCGAACAGCAGACAGCTTGGCTTGCGCAGAGAGTAAAGAACACACCTCGAGTCGTAGTGACCAAAACCTTCCCCAAACTGTCATGATTTCTGGTCTTGTCCCGCCCCTCCCCCCCCCCCCCCCCCCCCCCACTTGCCTTCCTCTGTATTTTTTGAAGAAGAAGAGGTTGAGTTGAACTTAGTTGCCTACTTGGAATAGATGACCACTGCAGTAGTGAAGTCCTGGATGAGAAGGATAGGGACTGGGAAATATGTATGGCGTAGCGGGATTCGGCCAGTAGCCACTGAGTTACTAGGATACGAGTGGGGATAAGGGGGGGGGGGTTTAGTCGCAAAATGGGTGGAGTTTTATGACACACACGGGTTTGTGTGCATGCGCGGAGAGAGGGTCATGAAGAGAAAAAGCAGACAGGCGGCGTGACTAAGACGCCTCGATATGGCGTTGTCAGCAGGGAATTGCAAATTGATTGGCCAGTGCTGGGAAACGCTATGTGTAGTGCAATCAGTTGAAGAAAATGCAAATTCCACTATAGTTGATGCGAGAGGAATTTCAAAGCTTTAATGACTAGACAAGGAGGGTGTAACTTTGACCAAAATAAGAGCAGCTATAAAACACGATAACACGCTTGATGCATCCAATTCAGCAACACAGCACACACTGTGTTGCCAACTCAATTGAATCCAATGGAGATGAGTACGTGCAGTTAATTTAAGTACAAAAAAGGACTATGTTTCACACACACAGAGGCTCTTGTACATACTCCACGTCTAAAATATGAGACAGGATGCAAAGTCACATTTTAATTTGAGAACCTGGGGTGTGCGATAGACTTACCTCCACGTGGTGCACCCTGGGCAACGTATTCTCATACGGCAAAAAAGTCTATTAACTGGCAGTTGGCTTCTGACTTCAAACTACCATGACCCCATTGTATGTCTTATTCGATCACTTCCACCATACTTATCCTACTTTTTCTCTGCCTTTGTGTCTATCTGTCACTTTTACATCTTTGAATTACTCTTCTGTCCCCCTTCTCCACTTTTTCTCACTTTGATGTTTCTCCTTCCCTCTGTGAAGCCCGAAGTCAGCTAAAGGGCAAATGATAAGTATCATAAAGCCCGCCATTTGAAATAAATAAATAAATTTGAGAACCTAGGGCGGTATTATGAATGAAACCATCACCACATAATTTAAACGCAAAGGAGACCTAGAAACAGATCATTAATTTTGTTAAGGGTAGCATGAATTCCGCACAAAGTGACAACTTTAAATGAATAAGCATGATTTAAACAATTGTTTACACTATACAGCGTCCCCCCACCCCCCACCCCCCAAGCCAAACGTACCACACACACACAAAAAATTAATTAATTAATTAAATAAGGGACACAGGTTTTGCACACAAAAGAACTTACTCGAAGAATTTCTCTACAAATGTAGGCGATCCAGTCCTCCTTCAGAGACATACCACGGGTACCTAAGGGAGAGAGAGAGAGAGAAAAGCGGGTTCTAACAAGTCCAACCTGAGCATAAGAGAGAGAACAAGCATTCGAAAGGATAAAAAATTGTTTCCTCAAAAGCCCTATTTATAATTTCCCGGGTTTGAGGTACACCACTCGCGTCACCTCTGTTTACCAATAATTAATTAGAGAATAAGCCCGTTATCGTCTAGTGATTGATCTTCCAAAAAAAACCATCTACTAACGATATATCATGTTAAAAAAGCATACAATGACGGTGATTCAGAGGTGAGTAGACGACTCACCTTAAAGGGCCCATCCAAGAAGAAGAAGAAGAAGAAGGATAGTAAATTTCACACGAAATTCCAATGTTTGGAAGAAAAAGCACACTCGAGATGCACTCTTCTGTACTATTATTAAAGGGACAAGCGGCATAAGAACCAATCTTGTTCCACTTAATGCAAAGCCAGAAGGCAATGCATTTAATACAATTATTGATTCACTTGTCCAAAATTCATCGAACTATGCGTCTAGTAATCAAAGTAGTTCAGTGGAATTGAATAGCAGTACTGTTTATTTTACGACTCGGATGCAAGCTCTATTTGCCGCGTGCCCAGACAATTTCGCAACCAGCCAGGCATGGACGAAAATTTAGACACAAACTTAACCACCCGAAAAATCCCGAAAGCCAAGAAAAATTGAATCGCCATGGAGCTAACGCAAAAAAGAAACGCTAGAAAAAGCATATGAAAGAAACAGTATTTTGGTTTATTTAAAAAATCGATAATTGGTATTTGAAATAAAACCAGTTAGGTGAGCGTATGTAGGAGCTCTAACAACAAGAAATTGGAGCGAAGAAAAATGGAGGTATAGAGGGGGGGGGGGATTGACAAATGAATCAAGTGGTTCTAGAATTCCTTAACTCCAATAAAACTAACGAATTCATTAATTCATTAAAGTTGCAATAGTGCCAAAGTAGGATGATCTCCAAGCACATGAGAAATTACTATTCAACCCCATAACTGACAGGGACTAGATTTTCTTCAAATCAGCAACGATTTTGTGACCTCCAAGTTGTCAGGTGTATGTTCGTTGATAAATGGGTCACTGGCGTAATTCAGAAAAGCCACAACTTGCGTGCTAGAGAAGATGATGCATACAACATTTCGCGCCGTTGTCGTTTTAAAACTATGAGAAAATCAGTCAGTTTCATTAAAACAAAGCCTCCAGGTGATTTAAAAGGAAATAAGACCTGAAATTAAAAGAAGATGAAGAGAGCACTCGTATCCATTCAGATGTGAAAGTAGCTCCAACAATTGAGATAGAGAACAATTTTTCGGGAAAGGAAGAGGAGGGGTGGTGGTGGTGGTGAAATTAATGGCCTAACTGCACAAAAGTACACGCAAAAGGGCGATGTTCTTCTAAAGCAGCGAGTAGAAACAAACAGAAATCAATGCGATGGGATAGTGAGGACTAACAAATATGACATCTCATTTCAGGAGAGGGATAAATGAGGAAAGGAGATGAATTACATCTTTCTGAGACGTGGAGACCCTTAGCTATGAAGATTAAAGTAGATTGCTGTGCTGGCCTAGGGATTTTTTGAATAGCTCAAAATTCAACACCTCGTTTGCGAAATATGCTGCTCGTTACTGCTTGTGCAAAAATAAATGAACACAGATCATGTGGAAAGTGTTAATTCGGTGGAATAACAGACCCCCCCCCCCGCCACGCCTTCAATATTGATACTCCAATTAAAGCAGTAGCTTAATCTACTTTCTACTATTTATCAAAAATTGACCTATAATATATCTACGAATCTACAAATAATCCGCTTTTCAGTTATGTGGGAAAATCATAACTACTGCTCAACACCCAAAAGAGCGCCTGCCTTTGTAAAGTCAAGTCATAATTTCAAACTATGTCCCATTAGAGCAGAAAACTACAAACAATTGCGTTCCATATTGCTCAACTCATGCAAAAGATACGAAATGCTGAGGGACCCACTACACACAACTGCTCTCAAACCGACAAAATATAGACAAAAATGAGTGTATATAATCAAGTCAAGACTATATGTATATGAAACATGAACTCACTTTTGACTAAGTCCGTGACTGATCCGGCTCCACAGTACTCCATGACAAGCTAAAACGCAAGCAATAGAAGGGTAGATTAGTAGGAGGTGAGCTCGAATAGGCGCGCAATGAGTGGGTTGACAGCAACTCACCCAGAGATGGTCATTGGGAGTCGCCTTTTTAATGAACGCTCCATAGTAAGTGGCGATATTCCGATGATTTGAAAGCTAGAGAGAGGGAGAGAGAGAGCAAAGAAAAGGAGAATGATGAAGAACAAGCACACTATGCGATGATGATGATGATGATAAACACGTACAAACTTGAATGTCGTGTGAATACACTAAAGCACAATGACTCAAGTCTCACCACTCCTCTACTGTCGAGCATGGAAATTGAGACTTTATGAATTAGTTGTGTTTCACAAAGCCACTCTCTCACTCTTTCTCTCACTCTCTTCGCTTAATATGTGAAGACAGAGGTGCCAAACACTCAACTTGAACATCTTGGAGTATCTGTTATGGGAAACTTCCATTCAGTGGCCTCCTTTTGGCTCCAATGTGAGTAGAACGTTGTCTGGGTATTTGCTGATGAGGAGTACGACAAGATTAGAGAGAAGTAAATTATAATCGAATGCAAAAATAACCACGAAGACTAACTCTCTCATGATTGTTTCTCGCAAAGAAAAAAGTAGACCCATGCATAAAAATGCAAATTATTAGATAGGACACGTTGCAACGGGATGAAGGAGTGAAATATATATTTGAGTGATCTCCCAAAAAGACGGGCAAGAAATCGTAACCGAATGAAAGTGAAAAACATACTTCCATTGAGAAATTACCATTAAAAAAAAAGTTGAAATGCAACTTTCCAGCCTCAATTAACTGCGCAACTGAACCAAACCGGGAAACAATAAACAAAAAACAGCGAATTTCAAAAAAAAACAAAAAAATACCACGAAGCTTCCGAAATAAAATATGGAAGTCAGATTTCTAAAGTGAAATTCAGCCAAACATTACACTGAAAACACTCTCTCTCAACAATAAAATTTCAATTGCCCATAGCAATACAGCAGCAGTCAGCACTATTTGAAATTTGGCGAGAATTCAGAAGACTGGACATGAAACCCTTGATTTCAAACCCGTGTCAACAAAGGGGATAGATCGTTGAATTCTTATGTCACCTCAGAAATCCCACAACAGATCAATATTGACAGTTTAAACTCGTGATCCATTGATTCAAAGCCTGACTTCATGAGCGATAGAGAGTTGGGAATTGGAGACAAGAAGGCTGTGTCGTAGGGCATTGAACACATGCCGAATTCCAGAGACGCAATCACTCGGTAGTAGGGTAGTGTAATTTACATGTCTGGGTGACCATAAATAAGCATAAACAGATAAATAATGTAACGAAATTGGTGCGTGCGTCATCGTAGTAGAAGGAAGAGTTGGCTCCATTCCAGGGAAAATGATGAATCATTGCACCGCAGTATTTGTGGAGGTACAGCAAGTATACGAGAGAGAGATATATATATATAGAGCCAAATAAACACCCACAAAAAATTCTGATTGATACGGGCGATTGCGAATATGCATGAATATCTAATCCAAAGCCAGATCCAAATGGAAGTGGATTCAGAAGAGACGTAAATTCTCGAAATTCTCTGTTTGAAATGCACACTTTACCTTTCGACTGGGGAATCGTATTGCACCATCCATTGTCTCAAATTCTGGCTTTCGTATTGGCTAATAGAAAAGGAGGCTGTGTGTAAAGAAATAAGCTCAAAATACTTCCTTAATTCCCATGTCGTGCATTCGCAATATTTTAGTCTTTCATGTCTAAAAAAGCACTTTTCATGCAAACTCTTAACAGCTTTAATGCAAGCTGAGATAAAATCACCACCACTATAAGTAATCGAAGAGTATCAGCAAAGAAAATCAATCTAAATTCCCAATCGTGACTCAAAATAGAAGAAAAAACGCAACTATCGAACAGATCTTTCATATTTGGAAAGGTTCATGAAATCGGTAAATTTCAAGGACACTTTAGGCAGACATTAGCCAAATTAAAGGTAGAAAACTCGATTGATTCAGCAAAGTAGTCTTTTACAGCGCTTAAGTAACAGACATCAAGTCCACCATCTCCCAGTAGGCGCGTTCTCCGTTATGGTTTTTGATTTCTTGAAAAGCATAGAAAATGTGAACTGGATTCAAAATAATCTCGCCATTGCCCTGCCATAGGTATGCATGCATTTATACTCGAGTTGAATGTTGCTTATCTATGCTTATCTATAAGCGCAAACATACACCACAAACTCCTTAAGGGAACAGGATGCTTAGGGTGCGGAATTCGGCAATTGAAGCCAATTTCCAGAAAAGACCAAATAGGGGCATGAGAGGGGGAGAGAGGAGGGGAGAGAGAGGAATAATGGAGAAATGGTGGAGCAAATGACCTATCTCAAACAAAGTAGCAAGAATACCACAGAGTGCAGCTTTTCATGCACAGGTGTGTAAAGGGTGCACATGTTGCATCCTGCTTACTACTATGCTACCCGAAAGTTGGCGTTGCTCGGCCACGCACCGGACTTAGCACACACAGTGTAAATTATATATTTGAAGAAACAGATGGATGTACTTAACTAACTGAGATAAACACAAATCTTGAAAACTAGAGGACTGCGCGTCATCGTTCCATCAACATTGTTTAAAATCAATTAACCGATTAAGCGAAATTAGCAATAATTTACCGTTATCTGCCATTTGAACTATCGAATTCGGTGGCGTTAATCAATACCAGAAATCAGCCACCTTCGAAGTTATGCGCGTTTGTCGGATCATAAGATCACATTAAGGGTAGATAAATGAGTCATCTGAAACCCTCAAATTTGCACGTCTTTTTTTATAGGAATCAATTTCTCACTCCTAACGCGAACAAGGACAGAAGAAAAGGAGCATGTGATGACTCATACGCACCAAAACGGAACGCCAATTTTCGACGTAATTAAAATCGCAACAATATTGGATACAGTTATGCCGTTTCGGCTGCCATAAATTGAAACACCCAGTTACAAATTGGTAAGAGAACTTGGCAAAAAAGAGGTTGATAGGAGAAAAGTCCAGCGAAAAACGACGGTCTGGAACGCTCAAACTATCGGAGTAAATAACAGAAACCCACCAAATAAGAAATGAATGCACTTTAGACGAGACACTTAGTTGCCAATTACTAAGCAATATAATGTAATGGAATGAGACTAATACGCTTTCTTTAACCTTGAGCTCGGACAACAAAGACAAATTGAGACCGCATCAAATTCACTACAGGAAAAGGTCATTATTGATTATACAGACACCGTCAATTCAATAATTAAAAGTGTCGAATGCCCTCAATCTCCAATTTCACTATTATTTCAACAAAAAAATAAATTAAATAAAATATTAATGGTATTCTATGAAGCAGCGTAAAATATAAGAACTTAAGTACAAATGAAGATCATTAAACCCCCCCCCCCTATTTAAGATTCAAAGCATTCGTAGAATTGCAAGAGGAACCAACAACTCGGTTGTCGCGCCAATTATTAACCAATTTTCGAACAAAATTCTATTCTCTTTTTCAGAGTCTACCAATTCAAGGAAGTCTGAACAACTAGGAGACGTTAGTGGATTAATACTGAATGACTTTAATAGATCCTAAATTTACTGGGGAGAAATAAGGACATTGAAGAGTGCCTTTCTGAGACCATTTCAAGTAGGAAAATAGTCCAAGTGAGTCTTTTTCAAGATGGGATTCTCGTGTTCTGTGGTTGCCCGCTTGATCACTATTAGTCAGAAATGTTAGTCACAGGCCGTTAAACCGATGAGTGCCGAATGCATGACATCTGATTTGGCAGATGTGCACATCGGCCAATCAGACATCGACAAACAGATATACAAACATTTGAAAGAGTCTTAGAGAGACGAAGGAAACAAGGTACAAAAACTTTGATTAGTCCGAAAGTGCTCTGTAAAATGGAAAAACGGTATTATGGGACCGGATGAGGTGTATTGACGGCTAAATTTTTCCATTCATTTCCTCGCGTAGATCATGTACCATTTACGCAATACATCATTCTAACTTCAGCTATATACTACACAGACTATTTCAAAATCTGTTTAAGAAAACCAATAAGAGCATTAAATAACTTCTGATATGATTTAAATTGTTCGAATGAAATTTAAAATACACTTAAAATGAGTCCAAATGGAGGAATCGAAAGAGGTGAGCACTGAGAAAAGAGTGAATTGACTAGCCATTAAGGAAGTTTTTAGACGTATTTGTGGACAGCTTCTCTTAGATATCAGTTAAGAAAGAAATTCGTAATTATGAGTTTGAGGCTTCGACTTCATCAAAACAAAAAAGTGAGGAATTCGTGAGTTAAAGGAAGAGAAGAAAGTGGACATGGCATTTGAAAGGCATTGGCAGAAAAGAACAGGCACTTCAAAAAAGAAATTCAAAAAGTACAAAGTCCAAGGAGGTATGAACACGCGCAAGGAATTTGAAACAACGTCATTTGTCCTTCCTTTTTTTCGAAGTTTTCAGTTGGGTCTTAAGAAATTGCCTATCATGAATTTAAGCCAATGAACACTACAAGTAAAATGTTAACGAACAATCGGTTTGCTTTGTACGCAAGATACGAAAACTTCAATTAATAGTAGCTAACTTAATGTGAAGACACCAAGCATAATACGTGAATGCACAATCAATGACGCATGCTTATAGATCATACACACAAGTAACTTCAAAACGCCTTGATTGTATGAGGGCTTGGTGGTGGTGTTGGGGGGGAGGAGCAGACCGTGTTGACTGCAAGAAGCTTCCAAAAGCTGGTTGATGGGCAGATTATCCACGGGAAGATTCCAGGTACAGGTTCACATTTATTACAATTGAAGAATCCTATTAACTTAATCTCTGTGTCAATCCAAAACGAATTCACAAGTCTCAGTTCTCAGTGTACTTTACACCGATTTAACTTTTTTGTAAATGAGAGCATCAAAAATTTCACGCCAAGAAGCATCCTTTTTCTTCAAAAAATAATTGCAGCTATCTACTAACAAACAAGCTAAAGGTGAATAGAAGAGGTCATGGAGCTTTAGATCAACTACAGCCAATAAATGTCAACCTTAGTCCAAAACATAAGATGAAATTAGATGATGATAATAATAAGATATCCCGAATAGAAGCCCAACATTGGCCTAAATTCAATACAGCTACTGACCAACTCAATTAGGAAAGCTCTTCCAACAGTCGACTTCATTTCGCCCATTTAACTTTAAACCAAAGGACATCGACGCCGAGAACACTAACATGGAAAGCATTAAAGAAAACTATCCTTTTCACAGGAATATATTTGCGCTAACAGGAACGGAATATTCCCTTTGAACGATTGTCAATTAAAGTTAAATGCACACTTTCAAAATTGCTGACTGAGATCATCATTTATGCAAATAGCGAACGAACAGATGGGAATGAACAATCATGATAGGGTAAATGGAGGTGAATTAGAAGGCTGACTTACACGTCGAAGAGTGTTTATTTCTAGTAGAATCTCCTCTTCATCCTCCTCTGTAATCGGCATGACCTTGATAGCAGCCAATTGACCAGTTCGCATATGGCGACCCTTGTAAACGTTGCCATAGGTGCCCTTGCCAACAACCTCGATGAGCGCAAAGATGCCTGAGGGATCACGAAGATCATCTAAGTTGGTTATCTCAGCTCCCACGATTGAAGACATGCTTAACAAACACCAACTCTGTTATATGTGTGCGTATGTTATGTGAGGGTGTGATAGAGTTATAATCCACAGATACGGCTAATTGATTTCTCCTGAGAACATTCGTTGTAGCTGAAGAGGGTAAAAAAGGTTGAAAAGAAATAGAGCACCAATTACTGAAAATAACGTACACAGAAACTAATATATTTCAAATATGAAGAGAGGACGAAATTTCGCTGTCACATGATCGAGAACTGATTAAACGAAGTATTATCAAGACCGGATGTGAAGTTACTGTATTTGTGATCATATTTGATAAAGATAGCAATGAAATCTAGTAAGAGGAGCGATTCTCTTGAAGTGAACAAACTATTAGCTTTCTGTTGGAAAAACATAAGATCGTTCGGGTTGTTTGTTGAAGGCAAAATGCTTAAGAGATGAATCACAGAAGTAAAGTTTAATATTTTGGTATAAATTCGGCATTAAAAAGATTACTTAAATAGCGATGAACACACTTTAACCACCCAAAACTGATCAACTTTACTCTAAAAGCATCAACGACGACAACCACAATTTCACAAAAAAGCAAAGAAAAATATTAATATATTAATGAGAATTCGATCAGCGCAAAAGGTACTACATAGCTGATCAACATATTCAGGCAAACCGATAGATTGGACAAAAAACTTAGAGAATAAGGATAACGGCCTTAATTTTAAGACGGGTATAATTTATTTCAACGGCGGTATTTATAAAGACATAAAGAAATTAGAGAAGGTCTCTGCCTATGAAAAGAGACTAAGCAGACCACACAAAATTTGGGTCTAAATGGAGGACTGACTCACAGCAGTTCATCGGTCTCGAATTGAATGCGTCGTTGATGCAATATGAATAAGTTTAGATAAGTAAAAACTCGAATAACTATAAAAATAGTGCATAAAGATTATGCACCCTTGCGATCAAGACAATGGAAATTTATAACAGGTATGTATTTAATGATAAGTGAACTAAAGGAGAAAAATGTGGAAAGATCAGAAAATTAAAAAATAGGAATATCCTGACCATAATATACCAACGCTTGTTCAAGAACATTGTTAGAATAGAGATTAAAGTTATATTAAGAGAGAAATCGATTCACGCTTAATGAAATCCCAAAATGATATATTTAAAGTTCAGAGTCTATACAAACTAAGATGAGAAGCAAAGAAGATATTTTTTGAAAATTAAAAGCCAATTAACAATACCCACACATAAAAGGGACAAAAACTATTTTATTAATTTAGTTCAAGCATAACAGAAACGCCGAGATATAAATCAGAATACCTACTAAAAGATATATAGTTTAAGTGAAATTTTGTAAATAGAACACGCATAAATATCTAATTATGATGCAATGGGAAAAAATATGAATATATTACGTTCCTTTAAGTTATATTCAACTCATTCCAACACATAAAACTTTGATAATATCCCAAAAACATTCATCAGGCAATAAAAGCAACAAAAATAACTGAGGACATACAAATAAGCCAACTCACTAGTGAGAAAATATACGACTATCTTAGTGAACGCTAAAATACTGATTTGATTCCTTTGTCTTATGGCGCGAGACCTTGAACGGCATATTTTTGACAAACATCATTCACATTAAAATAATATATGTCAATTAATTTAAAATATTTAAAAATATTTAACTAAAATTTAGTTCAAATTATATATATGAAAGACTCTTTAGCATTTTATAAATTTCAACTTTCGTATTTCTAACAGTTTACACGAGAAGAAGTAACTATTGTCTACAAGTGATGTCAAAATTTTTAATAATATAAGCCATACTTCTCATCATTATGTTGGTTTTTAAGTTTCGCAGCTAAATCGCTGCTTAGCAAATATAACTATGTTCCCATAATCAATCCACTATTTATCATTGAATACTTATAATCTCTTAAATGAAATGAAAATAATATGGTCAACTTGTTTTAGAAGACAATTTAAAGAAAAAACAGATACGTTTTTAGTATATTTAACAAAATTTGGTAACGTCTAATACAGCAAAGTTGAACTAGTAAACCTCTCAACTTATCATATCTTTTCAAATTTACGATATTCTTCAAATTCGCACTTAGATTTTTGGCTAATTAGACAATAACCATAGTAATTCTTCAAGTGTTTCTTACTTATCTGACATTTTATGGTTTCAAATAAGTCTTTTTCTGCTAAGAGGCTTGTAGTTAAACTGACAGCTAAAATATATTGGACTACCAAATACGAGGAGCGAATATAAAGGCTAAGTTTAAAAAAGTCAAATTGTTTGGTTTTCGAATAAGGACCAACAAACATGGTGTCTTTCCCTGACATTTACCATTGTCAAGAGATATTTGTACCGGGTCACTTTATTATTTCCCGGGACTACGTGAAAGCAGAGTTTTCGGATTTGTTTATCGGTTCACCATTTCTAGCAGATAATGTAATGGAAACTGACCAAGAATTGCAGATGGCATGAGCATGAAGTTTGATGTTTTATCCATGAAGTAAATTATATAAAATTTGTATCCGCAAATCGGGTTCAAACTAAAAATCTCGATTCACTCTGAAACTATTATCCCTAGGCAACAAATGTTGTTCTTTTGTAATTCATAGTAGCTTGACGTTTTTTAAAAGTTCATAATATAAGATATGTCAATAATATTTAATTACCGAAGTAATAAAAATTCAATAAATGGTCGAATTCAATAAATTTTTCATATTCATATTGCCCTTGATAGGGTAGAGAGTATCTTCCTATGTAAACTTTGTAGGACACCGGTGTCGCCCCATAATTTGCTTTATGCTATCTCGGTATAGTATTAGCATGAAATAGTATAGAATACATTTCATTGATTTGATTTTTATCTTATTTAGATTTTCACGTTTTGTTTTACTCGTATTCTATGTACCACTAACACTAACGCCAAAATTTTCAGTTAAATTCTACGTACTAAGATTTCGTTCTGAGGTTTTCTGGTCACTTACATCACTTATTATGTGTGATCATTTTTAATAACTGTATCAGACTTGGATATACCAAATGGCTTTTCCGGAAAGCAATTGGAAATTGAAGTTTCCCATTGGTTATTGGAACGCTTTCCTGATATTTTTTATACACCAATTAAATTCCAAATTTTGATTTGAATTCGCTAAATATACACTACCATCGAACTTTTTCAGCTATTTTAGTCAATAGCTTAAAACGCTTGACGCATATTCGTGGATGCAAATGAAAATATTTAACTTAATGAGCATTCCATATGTAAATCACAGACGCTGCAAAAGAATGGATCTACGCGACGAACTAAGAAGTTCCTCTGAAGACAGGAACTCGAAAATGATGTCCCTACTATAATCCTCTGTCCAGTCGGCCAGCAATTCTAAAAGCCGCGATTTATTTAAGCAAGCTAGTTTTCACCGAATGGTTTGAAATGCACATCACTGATCAAAATTAAATTAATTTAAATTGTGTATTATTTAAGTTCCTTTTTTTTAATTATAGTGTCGATGTTTGGCCATAAATTGACAGTAAATAAATTCTGGCAATCATGACTTGAATGAATCCCTTATTAGAGTGCTTATACATAATATATATATATATATATATATATATATATATATATACTCGTTGAAATTACTGCATTTACTAATTAAAAAATTACAATTCGCATTTATACCGTTCGCTAACAGCTTCCAATAGCACATTTATTTATTTGTACCAAATGGAAATTGATCGGCATTGATTTTGTTTGAACGAAGTTGTTCCCTGGTGTGATATTGTTTTATGATGTAAAGTTAGGCGATTTACATTGTTAACTAAATTAAAATTTCTCTTTGAACGAATTTATAATTTGAATTATTTCTAATTTAAGACTTTCAATAACTAATTTCTTCAAGGTGGTCCTCCAGATGGACTTATTACGCGAAGCGTTTCGCAAGAACTTTGACGTATGAATCTTAACTTATAGCATTCAAGTGATATTTCTGTCATTCAGAATGTGCGAAAGATAGATTAGAAGATCAATTTTATTATTCTGCTATATTACTCTTTATTTAAACTCACTGTTCACACATAGTTTGTGTTGTTTTCCAGTTGTTCTAACCCTGATGATAGGTGCTTTATTATATAATTTAGGGAGCAATTTGCTGCTCCCTGTCTAGAATTCGAGTATGTTTTGACTTTTGCTAACATTTCAGCAGCACAAACGTTATCCGCATTTAATAGTTCAACACTGTTAATATTGTATCCAATATAATTACTTCAGTGAGCTTTAAGTGTTGTTTATTCTTCGATTCGCAGGTATTATTAAGTGAAGAACTCTTAGCTACTCGTTTGAATGTAGCAAGTTTTCTATTTTAGGAACTGAAGTAATAAACAAATGAAAAAGCTTCTTTCTAACTGGTGTTGAATTAAGTTAACAGTAAGTAAGTGATTTGTTGTTTAACCAGTAGACAAATAATCAAGTAATCGATTGAAGTTAAAGCTGCCCTGTCATTAATGAGTGCCTCTAGTAACTTACAAATATTGGCACAGGCTCCTTTGTAATTAATTAGGAATAATGGTCGAAAGTTACCTTAATGAATTTATACATCCCTCCCACGAGAAGTGATATTCCAGAGTCCAAACTTCGGGAATCTGGTCACTGGTTATCTGACCTTGAGTATAGCATTTGACTTCACATGTGATTCACACCTCATTGTGTTATTTATGCTTGCGTACTTATTGCTGGTTCATCAGTTGGTTGAGGTGAAATTCTCTTGATCATGGCATAATAAGTACAAACCACTTTCAATCCCCCAAACAGGTGGCTTACAGGCGGGCGTCACTAACTCTGACGTAGTATTGATTCGGCAAGAGTATTTATCGTCACATTAAGCAGAAAGGTGACTGCAACGCTTGCTCTCGGGGTTATCGACTTAACATAAACCGAAAAAATTTGAGAAAAGTTTTTGGCCTAAGAAGTTTCCTTAGTTCACAGAAATTTTTCCCATAC